CTTCCAAAGGAAACACGTTGTGTTTGAAAATTATTTAGAAAATAGGAGGAAGCTTTAAATAAACAAGAACTGAATGAAAAACTATTTGACACATCTTATTCAAGTTGAGTGTTGAACTTATGTTTATAACATAACTACATAAATTGTCTAGTTCAACTTATAGATTTTGATTATCAACTAGTAAGTCAATTTTTTAAAAAATGTTATATTATCATTAATTAGCATAAAATAAGTTTTAAATGGACAGACATATTATAATTTATAATTATTAGGTATAATTCCTTGAATAGTTTATCTAAATTGCATTTTCTGAAAAGCAATAAATAAGAAAACTCACTAAGGAAATTTAAAACATTTTTTTTATCTATAAAAAGAAAAATTTATTTACTGTATTAAGATTTTTAACCAAATTTTTGTCTAATTCAAAACTTGAATATGCTGAAATCTTGAAAACAAGCATGTTCAATTATATATTTATATCATTTTTTTAAATATTGGTAATACTTATAGGTACCTTGTATAGTAGATCTGTTGAATGTAATTTTTAATGTGAGGTATATGATATCAACATTTATAACCATCGATCCAAAATAGTTTTGTTTTTATAGTCTAATCCACATTATGTACCTATAAAATAAAATTACATAATCACAATACTATATGATCACACATGACCACATAGTATAAAAAGAGTAATATTATAAAGAGTTTGATATGAATACAGAACTATAGCTAAGATATAACCAGCAAGAAATTAAAAATATACTGCAACAGAGCAGCTGTAGATAAACCTGATGAAGAGACGCGTCATTGCAATGGAAAATCGTTGGAAGTAATTTTTGTTTAGGTATAAATTTTGGAATAAATAGTGCACTAAAAATGTCGTGTTACACGATTTACTTTCTATTAGCTTACAAAAATTATTTCTAACATGAACATTTTTTATTTTAATGAGTATGATTTATGTATAATTTAAGAGAAGTGAAATATTGARGTAGGCAATTTTTTTGAATTTATATTTTTTACAGTATATCATTTTTTATATTTTCCAAGGAAATGCGAGCAATAGGTAGGTATTTAAGTAACTYAAAATTTTAAAAGTACAAAAATGTGTAGTTGTTAAACAGAATACTGATTTATGCATAACAATAAAACTATTTACATTTAACATTATATTTAGTTTCTATTCTGGATGACTATACTATATAAAAAAACGGTAACCTATCTATTCTTTGTGTTTAGAATTGATAGTTAGGGAAGGGGTCGAGAATTTTGAATATCTTAAAGGGGCGTTAAGTAAAAAAAATCTGGGAAACATKAGTTTATACTAAGATTGAGTAACTCAATAACCTACTCAGTAGTCGGTGGTAAGTATATTCTGCAAAAAAAGTTTAAGCCTTGTAGTTTTTTAAAATTGTTAAACCGCTATTCGTATAATAGTGTTGTAGGTATACACATTTATTTGAATCATTTTTAATTTATGTAATTTCTTTCAAATTATAGATAGATGGCACAATTAGTTAAATTATGATATTTGAAAAAAAATCTATATAATACTATAATTTAGTAATTATATTATATATATGACCTACTCTCTCGACGTCAATTGTATATACATTTTATACATTTACAATTTAATCACAATGCTTTTACTCCTAGGATGGCCTAATTAATATATAATTGTGTTCAATAATTAGTTAATGCTTTATACCTGCTATAACGATAATAATAATAGTTCTTCAAAATCATCTAAACAAAATCGCTGTATTCATGACGTATGGTCAAAATAACTTAGGTTGACAAAAATAATAGTTGAGCTCAGTTTGGACACACAAACAATATATTACTTTATTGAACATTCAGTAAACATAAGAAATACTTTTTAAAAAGCTAAAAAGAAATACTTTTATTTGAATCCATTTTTAAATATAAGTGAATTCTTCCTACAGGACAGAATGTATACTGTATGTCTGTATTATAAATGTCCCTAAAATCATAGYCAAGAAGGCTTAATAAGGAAAATGAGTTAATTTTATTTGTARAAAAATCGTTTAATTTCTAATTATTTATTTATCGATTTTCAATAATTTAGTTATATTTTTGTACATTAAGTAATAGTTTAGTAAAAAAATATAATTTATAAATACAAGGTAAACGGCAAACATCATTATTAACTTTTTCGGACAACCATGGTTTACGTATACGATTATAATATAACATATTCATATATGATCCTGCGAGTTACAGGAAAATCTTAAAAAGTTCATCGATTTATCRCAATAAATGATTTATTACATGCCTACATAATGTATTAAAGTGTAAAAATTTCACTGAAAAATAATAGCTTAAAAATGTCGGCCCTTTCGCAAAAGTATACAAATGTATTTCTTTTATATATATTATTATTATCTAAGTATAATTTATTTATATCAATAAAAACAGGTGTCTTAAATATGGAATTTTTTCAATCATTTAAAGTTACTTAGGTATATAAATTTAAAATACGATTTCACATTAAATAAACACGAAATAGCGTTATTCTATTTTTTTGTTGAATTGAACTTGTTTATTTTTAAGTGTGGTGGTTATAAGTACGTATAAGAGTGAACTCATTGTTAATGTTTTATAATTTTATTTTGTTTTATAATACTATTTATTTTTAATTTATTCAAAGGATGTATCTTATTTTTTAAATCTTAAACATTTTATTAGCCAACAGATGTTTAGTTTATTTTTTTTATTGATCTTTTTAGCTTCGGCGACATGGACCATTAGCTTTATACATAATTTACATTATACTATTACTTAAAATTTACACGGTTTGGGTGACAATTTAGTTACAATAATAAGGGGAAGAGCTGTTGACTATATTTATTCTAATTAAATGTATTTATCTATTTTGGTTGTCCTGAGGAATGACATGATTTTTTCGGGTTGACAGTCGGGTCCGATTGATTCGTATAAGTTGGTTGGTATATTTAGTTTTTCTCTTTCTTCTTCATTTGATCGGCATTCTGTCATCAAGTGTTTTACTGAGAGGGTTACTCCGYATGTGGTGCATTCTGACGGYRGTTGGTTCTTCATGAGGTGTCCATGTGTGAGGTGTGTGTGTCCGATTCTGAGTCGGTTTATTATTATTTCGGTTTTTCTTGAAATTTTGTATTGCGGCCAGGGATTTATGTTATTTTTTATGTTATTTATTTCACGTAATTTGTTGTTTTGGTTTGACCAGTGATTTTGCCATATATTTCGAGTGATTATTTTGATGTGTTTTTTGTGTCTAAAATTGTGTTACTTTTTTGTTTGGGAGTTTCGGATACTATGGCTTCTTTAGCGTGATGATCGGCTAATTTTATTCATTTCCGTGAATTTTGCAATGTCCTGGTGTCCAAATTATTTGGACGTTCTTGTTTTGGTTTTTTAGATTATCGATTTGATTTATAATGTTGGCGGAAATGTCATTGGTTTGGAATATATTTTGGATGCTATTGATGGAGCTTAGGGAGTCTGTAAATATATTGAAGTTTTGTTGAGGATAGTTTTCAATATGTTTAAGAGCTGATATTATGGCGATGGCTTCGGCGGTATAGATTGAGCATTTCTTTTGCAGTTTATATGTTATTATTTCTTTGTCGATTATGATTGCTATTCCTACTCCTTGTTCGCTTTTGGATGCGTCGGTATATATGTCTTGTTCTAAATATTTATTTTTGAGGTCGTAGAATTGACTTTTGAAGATTTCTGGAATGGTTTCTTTTTTTTTGTTTACTGCAAGTTCTGTGTTTAAGTTGATTTTGGTGGACCACGGTGGTGTTTGTATAATTGAGTATTTTATTATATTCAGATATTTAGTTTATTATCTTGTCTAGCTACAATTTATATACTATATATCATAGACTATGTTCAAACAGTTTTTTTGGAATCTACATATATATTATATAATGTATTAATCAATTTAAAATTAAGCACCATTAAAATTTGAGTAAAATAAGTGTTTGTTTAATTGAAAAAATAAACGTTTCAACTTTATAAAAATAACATAGTATTATACATAATATGTCATTATTTATAAAATATATTATACGTTTTAAATAAATAAACAAATATATAATTTGATACATATAATTGACATTAAGAAATCTTTGATCACATTCTAGCCTTTAATAAATAACGAATTAATGTATAGACAGGGTGTAACAGAATGCCCTGACAAATGAAAAATGAAAAATCGATACTACTTAAACGTATAAGAAAATTCATGAAAATGATATGGATACCTACCTATAATAAATAATTTAAGATTTCCTCATATCTAAAAATTCTCTAAAAAAAATATTGATATTTAAAAAAAATAAAGTACTTTACTTAAATGTATRTTTTTGCCATCAATATTTTTCTAAAAATTAAATTAACGAATCACTTAGGTATTCGAATTTTTCAAAAGAAAATGTTATTCTATTTTAATTTTCAACATTAAAAATAAAAGTATTGAGTACAGCGTACTTGTAACGCAAGCATCTATAAAGTATATAATATCAACAAATATTATATACCCTCTATACTTTTTATAGATACTATTATAGGTATATGATATACATTTTACTTATAGTACATATTTGTGTATAATATAAATAATAATTTTTTTAAACTTTATTCTCTTCAATCATATATTTTTTGATAGAAATTGAGACTAATTTTTAGTATTTTTTAAAAATATAATGCATATATATATATTATGTTTACACTTTATAAAAAAGTTCACAATGATTMATTATTATTTATAATAATAATTGCAGACTTTTACAAGACTTTTACAATAAGTTGTGTATGCCATTCAATTTGTACAACATATATTATGCATGAAAACTTAATAAATTATACATGTTTAATTGAAATATCATTAACTATTATAAGTTATAACCACTATGTACTTCGCATATATTTTATAGGTTGCCGTTTGGCGTAAATAAAAAATTAATTAATTTACATATTTTTTTCAGAAAAATAGTCATAAACTATGCAAAGTATTGTAATCGATTATGCAGTTTTTCTACTGCTGATTGGGTTGTCATTCGCAGTATTAATTTATAGTAAAATATCCGGTCCCAAAGAACAGACGAAAGCAGACTATGTGTTCGCATCAAAAGGGTCGGTTTCAATGGGAGCGATGCTCCTATCCATTGCACGCGGATTTCTGGGTGTCAAAGTCTTCCTTGGTAAATATATTTTATGTTTAAAATAGTTATGAGATTTATCTGATATTAAATTGTATTACCTACTATTTTCGTATGTACGCGTTATTTCATCATTATAGTACTTATCTATACTTACCCCTTTTATACTATAATAATAGAGAAGTTATGAAAGTTTAAATTGCACGTCAAAATAAACCTGTTTCTGTGATATGTAAATAATACAAATATGCATTTAGCTATTTAAAAAAATGATTGAAAAATCTACGTTTAAATTTTTTCATAGAAATATTATGTAAAAAAAAGGTTAATTTTAAAATATTTTTAGAGCAATAAAGCATATTACTTATATTTTATTTTATGAGCACAAAAATATTATTCATAATATTGATTAAATTTGTAAGTCGTGATTCATTATATATAATTCTATAAAATATCTAAGGATTTTAATGTTATAATAATAATTCATTAAAAGTATTAAGTACTATATATAATACTACTAATATCTACTTAATTTTTTTTTAAACATATTATTTCACTCATAAGTCAGATTATTTCTAATTGTTTAAAATATATTAATTAAGACAATATGTTCTTTACAGGGTATCCGTCCGAATTTTATTATAGAGGAAGCGGAATGTGGGAAACCCTGTACGGAATGTCCTTAGCATTCCCTTTGGTTTTATATTTTTTCCTACCAGTATATTTCAATCTCGGGATTACTTCAGTTTATCAGGTGAGTTTCAGATATTTTCATGTCAGAATATAATAACTTATAATATTACTGAATTTAATATTTAAACGATTGTTTGAAGGCTACTACCTTTTTATAATAATTATGTAATATACTTTAGTCTGTTACACTAAATAATTATTTACGGCTATCATAAAATACAAATTGCGTTATTCTAAGTGGTTGAATATCAAACTATACGCTACGCATCATAATTATTGTTATATTCATCTGATCGTGTACCTACATATGTATAAATATATAAATATATATATATATATATATATATGCATATTTACAAATTCTTATTTTTGTCTATTTATAGTACTTAGATATGCGATTCAAATCAAGACTTGTGAGGAGGCTTGCGTCTGCTACATATTTTATTAGAAGCATACTTAACCTTGGTGTAACAGTTTTCACACCGTGCGTTGCCTTAAAAACTGTGATGGGATTGCCTTATTGGTTTTCAATCATCTTAATTACATCAATTGCCATTGTTTTCACATTACTGGTGAGACAAATTTTATTTACCTATTACTAAATAACTCAATTTTAATCTAACACGACCAAACAATTAATGCATATAATATGGGCAGTAAATCGTTTGCACATCACTGTTATTCATTTCGACCTTTTTGTATGGCATTTGCGCATCATTCAACTTTTGAGTTATACATCGCTTGCGCATTATCCAATTTAAATTATCTTACATAATTTACACATCAAAGTAGGTAACAATTTATTGAACTAGAAGACGCTAAAAGTATTCAAAAGCACAAGTTCTTTACTAATTTTCAGAAAATTTGACGCTTGTTGTATTCAATTTTCAAACGTTGAGTAGGTGAAACTATAAAAAAATAGGTAGTATAAAAAGCTAAAGGTGTCAAAAGCTAAGTAATTAGCCTGCGATTGTATTTACATACTATTATTATGACTATTATTTGCAATTTAATATTGAATTTACCAATTTATTTTTAATTGTATAGAGGTACCATATTATATTAATATGTGTGAGTCATAATAATTGTCAAATTTTCAAGTTCATTCAAATATTTTGGTRTATTAGAAGTTCTTATAACATTTTTTGCACAACTTGTGTAGGTGTTTTTTAAATGTATATTTTGTTGTACCGTTCTATTGTTTGATAAGTTTATGTGCAAACGTTAATCGGCCAYTGATGAACAAAAGATGTATGATATTAATTTAGCACAGGTAAACAATGACGAGCGGTTATAGCTATTCCCGTGTAATTTAAATAAGTATAGAACAGCATAATATAGTTAGCCATAAAATGTGAACCGTAATAAATTATGAATATAAATTACTTATAATTATTTTTTAGTTTATTAAAATGAACAACTATAGTATTACAATACAGCTTATAAAATGCATTATCTTAATTTTAAAAATAATATAATGGTTTATCAATTCATCATAATGCTATTTATTACTAAGATAAACGTTAGTAAAATAATTATAATTAAATAAATCTATTACTTACCTTTTTATCAACTCCTAATATTGGATTTTTTCATTCAAACTATATTTTTATAAAATTATCTTGTAGGTAGGTACTCTGATTTTGTATGACGTGTTTACATCACGTTTTAGGTATTGGACTTTTAGGTAAAAAATAAAAGTTAAAAATGATAATTCCCCCACAAAAGTGAATTCATATTTAAATGTTCTGTAGTAGTATATCTTAAAGAACTATAAAATAATAATCAAATATTATTTATGTAGTTTCACTAGATAGAATAACTACGGAATTAATAAAATTATTTTGAAATTCCATATTTTACAAAATAAAAATATGTGAAAAAACTGCAAAATCATTAAATTATTGTTCTTCTATAAATCATCAATAAATTATGGTTATAAAATAAAAAAGTACAATACTAATAATTTTTATAAAAGAGTAACAGCTATTTTAATAACTATTTATTTAATACTATATTCATATTTTGTATTAAATAAAAATGTATGTGACTCGACAGCCAATATATAATATTATAATATTTCATAATACTTATAAACAAAAATTATTACTTTTAACGGTAGGTATTTGAATTGATTTATATGATTCAATGATAAATTAAATGTATACTTTATTGTTGAAAAAATGTTATAATTTTCATTTTTTCCTTGCAAAATAAATACAATCATTAAATCATTCATGATTCATAAAGTTATAAATTAAAACGGTTACTTTTTATAGGTATTCAATAAATTTTATTAGAAACATGTAATTTTTACGTTTATAATTATATTTGCAGTAATTTTTATCGATTTTGATGCATTGAGTATGTCATTAACTTCGTACAGTCAAACACTAAATTATTTATAATTATATTATATTGTTTATCAATTATTATATTAGTGACCGAATCAATTATTATTTTATTAAGAACTAATATGTTATACGAATCCGTATTATAAATCTATGTTGGGTCCTACATCACATTTTGGACGATGGTAACATTCAGTAAATTAATTAATTTCACATATTATAAATTATGCTATACGTGTTTATACATGGAATATTTATTTTGTGTGAAGAAAATAATTTTTAAAACTTTTTTTTAAGTTTTCAGAGAAAAAAATGTTTGCACATTTAATGTAATTGAAATTATTTTAAATTCAAATAGAACATTTCTTTTACTAACAAGTTTGCATTAATAAAATAAAAATAATACTGTTAAGTATCGCAAAATTTGGTGTGACATTTTAATACAAAATTTCCATACAGTTATGGCATTTTATAAAAGTACTTAATTTTTCTATAAATATGAACGAATAAGAGTATAATAATAATAACAATTTGTGGATTCATTATTGAGACAATTCAATTAATGAATATATAGTGTTTGAAAGTAATATCAAATAATTTAGTTACAAGTAAGTAAGACCAACTGCTTTCACTTTAAATAGATTATGATCTAATAATTTTATTAATAAATTCGCATGTTAGGTACTTTGAACTTTTATCGTAGCGATAAGAGTCCCAAAACCATAAATATTATTTATTGTAACATTTATAAAGACATTTTATTAGCTATTATTAGTATTACCTATTACAAACTTATAAGACCGATTCTTCAAATTTCTCATACAAACATTTTAAAGTACCTATAATAATTTTTTTTTTAAGATTTAAATTTTAAAATTTGGTGTGCCATTGAAATTTGGTCAACGTGCCATAGTTTCACCACCCCTGATCTAGTAGGTATGTAATATATTTTTTTTTAATATTTTGAACACTTGAGGTTTAATACTTCTAAAAATTTAGATCTATAAATTATTACGTACGATTAAACTATATCACTTAATTAATCATATGTTAAGCAGGTACTGACCTACTTTTAAWTAATATAGTAATGATTAGAGAGTATTGATATACGTGAATAATAATTCATATTTATTTTATTAAATTACTAATTAATATTAATATAGAAGGTACTTAATTAAACCCATATTATGGCTTTCGTGAAACATGGAGATTTAATGTATCTATAATATGTGATACAATATATGTAACTGACTGTAATTTTTTTATTCGTTACATTTTTAAACGAATATTTTATGTAATTCCAAAATTATTATTTTATTTTCTCCACTGCAAGGAGCCATTTCCTTCTAAAGATTTTTTTAAATGTATACACATGATTATTAATATTTCTACACATAATATTATATTATAATATAAGTAATTTTTATCTTGATCTGGATGGGACTTTATACTGCGGGAGCGATTGTTCCATTTATCTTGTTTTTCAAAATGCCAAATTTGTACTCTATTATTATAACATTATTTTTGTAGACGCATGCAAACCGTTAAAATTAAAAACATAATATCTTACAATATATTTGGTACTGATTCAATATATCGAACTATGTTATCGTTATTTTAGGGAGGTCTGAGATCAGCTATTCTTGCAGACGCCGTACAGAGTTTAGTGATGATCGGTTGCAGCATAATTATCATTATTCATGGATTCTTTATAGCTAAAGGTCCATTGAATGTATATGAGGTTACCAAGGAACGGGACAGGCTGGACTTTTTCGAGTATGTGTAGATAAACAATGACCTGAATCCATGATCAGCATTTTGTGTTATTTCAGTTTTAATATGGACCCCACAATTCGTGTGTCCACGGTGTCTGCCACTCTTGGTCAGCTTTTTATGTCGCTTTCGATGTTTGGATGCCAACAAAATTTCGTTCAACGCTACTTTAGTATGGACTCTCAGAAACAAGTTGAAAAGTAATTTAATGCGAACCGTTTTTATATTCRAAATGGCAGCCATATGTTTATGTTTGGTTAGGGCATTTTTCCAAATTCGTAACGTTTTCTTAGGGCTTTGTGGCTGACCATACCGTTAATGATATTCCTCTTCAGTCTATCATGGATTGTCGGTATGGTGATATTCACGGTGTACGCCGATTGCGATCCTCGAGCACTTGGGTATATATCGGAGATCGACGAGATCATACCTTTTTACATTGAAGATAGATTTTACTTTTTGCCGGGCTTCATGGGACTCGTATTGGCCAGCTTGTTCAATAGTGGACTCAGGTAAATCAGTTTAATTTGTCTAATTATTTCTGTCATATTTCTTTATCGTGTTCAACTAACGTGAAAATTTTTTATTTACAGTATATTAGTGTCCAATTTAAATTCAATTTCCACGGTTGCTTGGGAAGATTTTATCTCTCAAATACCAATATTCAAAGGTGCCAGTGAAAAGAACCAATTGTACTGCATTAAAAGCATAAGTAAGTCGCAAACACAATGTATTAATCCGATCTTTAAATTATTTTATGAGAAGCTAATAATTAACACATTTTAGTATTTTACGAATTATTCTACGATTTAAATGATTCGTTTCATCATTTAAAATAAAGTAATCATTTTACAAATCCTTAATGATATTTATTTATTTTTAGGCGTAATTACTGGTTTTATAGTCATGGGTATTGCATTTATTGTCGCCCAATCTTCAGGTGTTATTGATGCTTCGCAGCTAATGACATCCGCAACTAGTGGACCTCTTTTAGGAGTTTTTGTTTTAGCTATGTTTTTCCCATCAACGAATTGGAAAGTGAGTACATTAGAAATTTTATWGATTCATTGTGTAACAAAATAAAAATACATTTTCTTATTAATTATGAACTATTTCTTTGTTACATCAATAAAAATTATAATATTTGCTTAAATTAAGTATACCAACATAATATTATAATATACTACGGTAGTAATTTTATAAGCATTTCAAACTATTTTTTGGTACTTAGATAATACCTAGGGAAATTTTAAAATAATACGCAATTCTTTATATCAAGCAATTTAAAAATTTAAAAATATTCCATCTTGCAAACACAATGACCACCAATCTTAAACCTAGTTCTCAGTCGTTATCACAATATTGCGTTTTAAAAAATGATGTAGGTATATGTAATATGTAGGTACTAATTATTATTCAGACGATATCATGACTTGACAACAGGGCCGAATTGGACAAATTCGGCCAACCGTTTTTTTTCTTGTTGTATCAGCCCACTTACAAACTTAATATCAATAACACCTATTACCATATTCTATGATCTGTGTAAGTCCAACACTCCATTTTTCAACTTTAAACTCTTAACACATTTTCAGTCAGCAGCCTAAAAATCCATGACTTAGACGGCACAAAATTGTCGCGAGCCACCAAGTTTTACTCGGCAACTTGCCAGGCCAAACAGGCCCTGCTTGACAATGATCGTGAAATTGAAGCTACACTTTTACTACACATTTAAACTGATTAGACAGTTGTCAGTTATACATATTTTTATTCACACTAATATAGGTTATAATTTTTTTAATTGTTTGGATTTTAAGTTAAGCGTAGTTATACAATGGACTCTACAATAATTTAAGTACATTTAAATACATTCATGGTTTTTAGAAATATAATAGTTAATAAAAATAAATAATTATTTTTCTATTCTTAGAAATTAATATTCTAATAAAATAATATGTTCGTTTTAATATTATAATATGTCAATCAAATTGAGGGTAAATTTGTATTAAGTAAAAATATATAATGGATATTATGAATACATATTTCTATGTATAATTTATAATCATCTCTAAAACTATTTAAATCCAACACATTAAATGTACATTTAATTATGAATTAATGTTTATGTTATTATTTAAACAGGGTGCTGCTGCCGGTATGATATCGAGTCATTTGATGACCCTATTTATTGTACTTGGATCATTGTCCATCGCCAAACAACCTAATTATCTGCCAGTGTCCACTGAAGGGTGTTCGAACACGACGTTCTCGCCACACATCGAGCCAATTTTTGATGTACAGTATAATAAATACAAAATGAGTTTTATGAACAAAACCCACAACGGCATTTCCAGTGTCCTGTCAACGCCCGAAGTAGAATCGTCCTCCACAGAGTACGCATAAATACAATATACAAACTACCTATACTGCAACTATACTTATAGATTATAAATTACTTTTACCTTATCAATCTCGACGAATCATTTAAGTGAAATTCTTAAGATCTTATATAAGTATAGATGCCATACGCATAAACACGCGGTTAACATACTTTGCTTAATCAGACTTCAACGTTGATATAGCATTACATATAAATAATATAAAACAAAAATAATAACAATTCTTCTGTTGTATTTAAATTTTAAATTTTCATTTTTCAGCGATATTCTGACAATGTTGTACTCGATAACGTATATGTACTATTCACTAATGGGCACATTTGTAACAGTCTTCGTCGGTGTCATAGTCAGCTACGTGACAGGTAAAAACAAAACAGATACCAATAATTACATTCAGATCAATTAAAATGTACGATTTATTGGCGATTACATATTTCGTGCACCGTGCTATTGGTGATGATGTTTACTTTATATTTATACTTATAACTCATTAATTGAATGAAAAAACATTAATTATCTAAGTTATTTTTGAATATTATTATCAAATATGTTTGCTTGATTGTTGTCTATGTTATTTTCATGTTTATAGAACCATTAAATTTGATCTGAAACAAAAAGGTTTTATATTAAAAAACTAAAGTCGATAATTATTTTAACTTGTGACATTATAATTATATCGTAACTTTTTTACCTGACACAAAACATCTATCCCATTAAAATATAATGGRTGAAACGAATATTCGCATCTTACCCACTGTATTGATAAGTAGTAACATTATAATAATATTACGAGAATTACAATCAAGACAAAGTAAGATTTCATATTGAAATGATAGATCAATCTTAGATAGCACTTGGGCCATCTACGTTTGAATTAGATACTATTTAAAATATTAAATATTATAATATATTTTACACTTTTAAAATTTTAATTTGTAACATTATTTTATCCTTTAATGTAATTAAATAATAGTTCCGCATCTTCATRCTTGTATTACTATGAATTATGGTACCTATGTATTTGTATTAGGCAGGTACCTCAGTACTTGTAAGACATTATTCGATGTTGGGAATATTTTCTACTCGCCAATAACTTATAAAGTATTTGRATATTATTGAGTATTATAATAATGTATGTGATTACAAACTATAACAATTGTTTGATTAGAATTAAGGGCGTATAATCTATATGTTTACCTCAATAGGTATTAGGTACTACGGTGGTTCTTGATTTCTGAAATTTAATGCTACTGGCTACTGTATTTGTTTGAAAAAGTTTAACTTTACCAATAAAGTCTTAAAAGTTTTTTTCTTTAAAATTAATATTCTAATTTTTAAGTAAAGTTAACGAAATACCTAAGTACCTAATCATCATATAATCCGAATCATTTATATTGGATTATTGGAAATAATAATTTCTATTTAAATTTACCGAATATAATAATAATGATATTGACTATTTTTTCATATTTATGAATTATGAATAAGGCGAACAAAATTACTTAACCTTTTACATAGCCATATCTTGTCTAATAACCTAAGCATATTGGATTATGACAAACCAATTTTAGTTTTGATTATACTCGTATATTTCGTAAATACAATATACATGATYATTATTTAATATTTATGCTATTAGTCTGACATCACTACATCAGTGTGTATTGTAAATATTAGCCGTAGCCTATAATGTTTAAATTAACGGTTTCACAATTTCAGAAATACAGACTGGTGATGCCATACAATATCCAATTGATTATGAAACGATACTATAGTTTTTAAAACTGTCCATGTAAAAATATGGCTACATTTCAATATTTTTCTTTAGTCTATTTCGTTTACTGACAAATACTTTTTTTTATTAATTATTTATTTCATGAGAAGATGCATTATTGTAGACCCAGCTTCGTGTTAGTTCTTTTTTTTGTGAGATATTTGTTTCTTTTGCATAAGACTAATAAAAATAAAAATATTTTGGACTATTTATTTGTATAATCGTCTCTTTGCTATAATTGATAATAGAACTAGTGACGTATTTAGGGGGGGGCTTGGGCTTGGGTGGTAAATTTTTAGAGGCACTAAATTTTGTAGAGTATTTTGATATGATGCGGTACCTAGGTCATATGGGTGATAAAAAAAAGTAATCACATTCAGATAGGAACTAATAAGCTATCATGTTTTTTTTTACAAATTCATCTATTGCTAAAAAAATGTAGGTTTTAAGAGTGTCTTTTATTTTACCTGGGGCGCAAAATTCCTAAATACTTCTCTGAATAAAATCAGTTAATGTGTTTATTGAACTTCAACTGTATTTTCACATTTATATTTTTAAATATGTATCAATATACAAAGTGATTCTTTTAAGTGGATACACTAATTATCTCGAAACGTATTTACTTTTTTCAAAATATTTTTTTACATGGTTTCAAGTTGTTAAAAACCCAACGTTTTTATTAAAAAATTATATTTTTAAATATTTTTTATCCTTATCACTTTTTAAGTTTTTTACTTTTTTGAATGACAACATAGAGTTTTAATTTAATATTCCAAAGCAGAATATTTTTCTAAGTATTTTGATTCATAAAAATCGAATTTAGGGCTAGCCT